CACATATAAATTGATCAACAAAGGAGTTCCAATTTTTCTAGATTCGATTTCCAAATTTGGTAATAATCCTGACTGTAATAATTTTATTCGTATTGAATGACACTTGATCTGCAATGTCCCGTGACTAATATAAAGGAAGGTCTTGTGATACTCTAATAAATAATACCATTCCGAAAGAAGACATTTATTGTCGATCAATTGTTGTATTAGCCACATTCCAAATTTGGAAAGATCCCTGACTGCACTAGGATAACTATTAAAGAAAATGAACAATCATGTAAAATATACTGTATGTTTGCTATTTTTAATTTAACATATGTTTTTTTATTATAATCAGCACAACAAATTATAATTAATAAATTTTTATTGAATGGTAAATAAAGAAAACCTTGGCATTTAATCAATGCCCCAAGTAATAATCATATGAAATCTAGGGTCTTCTGAAGCAATAATTCATAATGTGGGGCATAATAATAATTCGTGATTCAAAACATAATTTGTGACACAAGACATATAGTTTGTGATGCGAAGCATAGTTTGTTAGTTCTTATTATAATAATAAAGGAAGACCCTAATTGTAATCAGCAAGAATTATGTATTTTATCCTATACATATGTAAACTCGATAAGTTGGTCACTCGATAAGTCAGTTTTGGCCTAACTCGGCCAAAAATTTTCGCCCTTTTTTTTTACTAATTAAAAAAATTCGATAAGTCGGTCAATCTACAGTATAACCTTGTCATAACGAAGGTATGGTACCAACAACTTAAATTCGTTGTGACAAAACTTCGTTGCGACGATCGGGATCTACAATTTTTTATTGAACGACAAAAACTTTTTTATTACAAAAATAAACATAAATATAATAATATACCAACATAAATATGATAATGACAAAATGTAAAAATTTTTATTTGAAAAATGATTTAATGCTAGTTTGTGTTTGTTTTTTAATTCTTAATAATCCCAATTTTCTTTTTAATGATTTAAGAGTTTTAGTTTCGTTGTAATCAATCTCAATATCACCTTGTTGAAGAAAATCGTACACTGTTTCAATGGCAGCAATAGCATCACTAATTGAAACTTTAGTCTTAGATGTGGATGTACTACTTTCACCAGTTTCTTCTTCTACTGCTGGAATAAATGA